CCCTTGGACGCCCTTGGACGCCCTTGGACGCCCTTGGACGCCCTTGGACGCCCTTGGACTGGACACGATGCGGAGGAACCTCGCTGTTGAACGATGCTCCTCAGCAATTTGTCTTGCTTTTTCCAACGAGGCAAGTGATGAACTGCAGCGAGATTGTTGCCAAGGGAGAATATGCCGCTTGTGCAACAAGGGCTGGGCGACTATACATCAAACAGCCTTGTAAACCGATTGTCGGTGGTCGTGATGAACATCGGGAAAGAATGGTTAAAGATAGGATCGGCCTAGCCCTTCAACTTCAGCACTACACACAGCTCTCTTCCCGAGAGCAGCAATGTTTCCTCCCCATGTAGAGTATACCTTTTTTAGGGTGATTCGTGTCATCGACAGCGATGCCATCCCTCTTCAATACACTCCCAGCATCCAAAGAACAGCATCTTCAATAGAGCTTGAGGTTTGGCGGATTGAAGGCCTGTCCTGGTTGGAGAACACCTTGAAGCAAAATGGCCTGTGCTCCTTGGTCTTGGACTGGACTCGAAAAGCACCGTTTGTTGTGATCGAAAGCAGGAGTTCTACATCACCCGATGGGGTGTGCATATTTTTTTGAGATGGATGGATGTTGCTATTTCATTGCAATGCAGAACTTCCTTGAGATACATTTTGAGCCTCGGAATCGTAGTTTAGGTGGATTCTTGTGTGTGTGTGAGGGAGTATTTTGGGCTCAGATAGCTACTGTAAGATAACATGGTTAACTTGGCTGGGAAGAGTTGGTGCGGTGTGGGTAGGGCATGTCATTGGCCGCCCCTTGTCCGATCATAGAGCCTCTTCTGGTTGACGTGAATGAAGCTTGTCACTGGCCGACGTTCTGCGCTGAGGCTATGCATCGTCTGAACCATTCACGGTTGGAGGCTGGCGATTGAATCAACATAACAAGTCAGTAGGCTAAGGCTGAATGGCCGGACAAGCACCGCAAACATGCGCTGCCGTATGGAGAAGTATGGAGAAATGCATCCTTAAGGAGTTCACAAGTTCAACAGATCCAATGTTTCAGCTTGGGAGGTGAAACCTTCGCCTTCGTCTACAACCCTTCTGGAGGCGCGGAAGGGCAAACTTTGGAGTTTTATCCAGGTGTTTTGAAGGAAAACTCTCGTGGTGGAATCCTTGCTCGTTGCTTTGGACCCCTTCGCATGAAGGTTGAGTGTTCTTTGCTGCGCCTGTTTCGTCAGGTTCATGCCCATGTTCAGAGGGATCCCGCAATACAACCTGTGCTGCAGAAAGCTGATTCTTATTTGAGCAATGAGCCGTCACAATCCAGTCCTCTCATCGTGCTATCACAGGCTTTCGATGACTTGCCATCCAAACACCAAAGGGATGACTTTTTCTGGTCCCTTTTGCAGGCAAGGTGAGCCTTACCGCCGAGGAGCAGCATGGGTGGCTTGGGCAAAAGGCGCTGGTGACGCTGGTTTGGTGGTGCAGGCAGTAAGTGCAAGATAGAACTACAGTTGTACACTTGAAAGAGTCCTACAGTAGAGTAGATAGTGTGGTAAGACTGATAGATCCAACAAACATAGTTCCAGAGTTTGGATGATTTTACGTTCCTCACATTTCCTCCATAACACCTGTGGAGTCATTTTGGCTTTGGAGAAGTGTAAATCCACACCAACTGTCAGACCTATAGAACTCTCCAACCGCACATTCTGAAATCAATCTGTAGCGACGTGCCATGCTATCGCCAACTCATGATTCATCCTTGTCTCGACGGACAATTGAGGGTAAGGTTACCTCACCAATCCATACCAATCCTGCATGAGGATGTTCTTGTTTCTTCTTTCTTTACATACATAACATGTTTTATCAACCTGGAGGCCCAGTCTACCATTTAGCGAGCTTGACCGATGGTCAACCGGGTTGGTCAACCGGTTGACCAACGGTCTCCTGGTTTTGACGAGTTCGCCGGCGGCCCCAGGTCTTTGGCCATCATCCACGAGGATGACGATGGCATCACATTCCGCTATCGACCCTGGGCTTTGTTTGTTGGAAGGCCAGTGATGATTGTGGCTGAGGGATCCATGGGACCATCGAAAAGGATCGAAAAGGCGATAGAGCTTATGAGTAGATCCTCGTCGACGTCCCAACCTTGGTGAGAAAATACAAGAGGACTAAAACACCTTTTCAGGGTGGAGAACGTGTGACCTTTTTGGACAGTCGTTGGCCTTCAGGAATCTTCATCAAGAAGAAGGGTGGCGATTTCGTGCAATGGGGGGAGACGGGCGATGAGCTGCTTGCCTTGATATGGCAAAGCATTGGTTCAAGTCATAAGAGGCATACTGCAAAGTCAAGAACCAGCGATATACCGCGTAAATTCGGGCCGTCCCCTGAGATGCCATCCGACCACCGACACCTGCGGCTGGGCCTTTGGTCCTGATGTGCCTTGTTGGGAGACTTACTTCACCCCACGCTACTTCAAAAAGGATCAAAAAGGTCCAAAAGCAAGCCAACTTGCTGTTTCCATAAATCACTTGATTCTTTTCTTGAGGCATGCCCACACACACATATTACATGAGACAGGCGCAACAAGTTTCGCGTATCCCCACAGATTCTATCAAATGCATGACCTAACTTGGCTTAAAACTGTCAGGTATACCAACAGGATGGCTGGAGCCGCTATCCGAATCGAAAGCCAGGCCATGCGAATCGGAAGAGAGTTTCGCGTTCGAAAGCATGTGATGAAATCACGTTTCTGAATGCTTCTCAGCTCATAGTCTCAGCGGATGCAATTCTCAACGACGGTCATACAGCACTCGAAGACCTTGACAAAAAAGGCAACATACTTTGCAAACACTTGAGAAGTCCGCCGACCGAAACAGTTTGGCTTCCTACTCTGACGATTCGTCTAACAAGATCCACCTTTTCAAAAGCAAACAAGACCTGCCAGCGGGGAAGTGGGGAAGGCATCTTTGGCTTGACGCACAAGCAGCTGCTGAACTCGGATTGGGTCGAGGATGACGCATTGACGGTGAAGTTTGAGTTGGAAGTGCGCCCGGATGACTGGCCACTGGGCGTCGTTTGGGCGGCGGATGGCTTGGTTGGGGGGACCTGACCGCCTAAGCCTGCGTGGTTCTTTTCGGGTTGCCCGGACTTGGCTTGCTTGGCTTGCATGTTTGAATTGATTGTTCTGTTGAGAACGTGCATTGTCAACACTGGATCTGGGTGCATCACATTAGCAGTAACAGGTAGTAAAAGTATGTCGCTATTTTTGGGAAAGGCCTCTAATTACTAGCCATCATCATCCACTGTTACTGGTAATGGGATGATATACCCAAACTGGATCCATTTGCCTTTGCTGCACTGCCACTGATTTGTCAGGTATGGCCGTGCTCCGCTAAAACCACACGTGGATGTGCCACCTTCGACGATCAGTTCAGATATGCGGACCCTGCTGGACGAAGCTCGGCCCACATGTGGATGATGCGATACATGATGATACAGATACATGTAACAGTTGGACAGAAGCCAATTGAAGCATCTAAACAGCTTGGACCACTTTGGTTGGACGATCTGAGGAAGGCAAGTTCAGCCTTGCCCTCAGAACTGAAGTGCTGGCTGTTTCGTTTGTTGGGCACCAAAGGGTGTCTTAAAGGTCGATCACTTTCCAGGAAGATGTCTGACGAAAAACTGATGTCTGACAACACGCCGGCGTCCATGGAAGTCGGAAACCGGAAACCTCCGCATCCTCTTCCCTCGCTTCCTCTTTTTGGCATCCTGGCACCCTCACAGCTGCGCCCCCCCCAACGAAGGGTTGAAGGGATGGCGAGCGAGCGAAGAGTATCACCTCACAGCTGCAGGTGATGTGACCTTCGTCGTGCAGGGGGAGACCATGAAGGCTCATTCGCCGATCCTATGTGCGAGGTCCGAGGTCTTTGAGAAGGAGCTCACCGCGGGCCTACGGGAGTCCACCAGCAAGGACCGGATTCGTCCGGAAACGATGACCGAGAAAGACCCGTCTGTTCGGGGAGACCGGAAGAAAAGGGGGTGGAGACTCCAAAGGGGTAGGAACCACTTCGGGGTGTTGGAGATGTAGGGACACTAAGGATAGGGAGTTTACGATGTCATGGGCGCGGAGGTCTCCTCCGCGCTGCTTCTCCAAACAGGTGATCGGCAGAGAGCGACTTCCCAGCGCCCTCCAGCGCCGGTGCCACAACCTGCCTCCTGAGTTGTGTCCTCCAAAAGAGCGACGATCGACGATCTGTGCGAACAGGAGATCGTGATTCCGGATTGCGAAGCTGCAACTTTCAAAGCGCTTCTGCAGTTTCTCTACACAGACAGCTTCAGCTGTGCGATGGCCTTAGTGACGAGCATGTCGTCAGTCCCGTGTAGTTTCAACGATTGGTTGAAAACGACGAAACAGGTGGGTACCAGACAGCATTGCTTTTGTCTCACATGGAACATGTGGAATTACTTGCCGCTGTGTCTGAGCTGCCAGAGGGCTGTAGAGAGTCACTGTGTTTGTGTGCAGGTGGGTCATCCGAGCATCCACAATAGCGAGGGTGGTGTGAACAAAGGCTGTTCTTTTTCGGGGTACTGTATCTATGTGTTTTGACTTGAGGAAGGATCATAAGGATCAACGATTTTTGACATGTCGTGACATGTTGTGACCCCAGGATCTAAGCAACCCAAGTTGGGAATGACCCGAGATCTGAATGGACCAGTGGTGCGTTTGTGGATCGGAAACCTGACCCACAAAAACCAGATGAGCGTTGGCGACCCGTGCCTTTTTGATCGGCAGATCGGGAGGGTTCATGCCAGGAATCGCTGAACTTCGATGGGTTCTTCGACGGTCGGGCGAGCTTTCGCCAGGTGGAAGAGCTGGTGAAATCCATTTCTTCCAATTCCAGCGCGGGCCCCGTCGAGTTCGGGTGATCCAACGCTCCCGACGTCAAAGCCGAGAGAATGATGAAACAAAGCCATGGACTAAGCCAGTCTAGAGTCAGTCTAGAAGAGTCCTGGCTGAAAGCAGGTCAGCAGGTCATGAAGTTCTGGACTGAACTGAACAGCTCAAAGTCCAAGTGACAGATTATTTTGTTGCTTTTAGGAGACTTGACAGCCCAGACGAAAGGAGGGTGGGAGGCTAGCTACTTCCCAACTCACCAACCGGGAGGTCGGGGTCTGGCATGTCAGGGAGACACGGTAACTGCCAAGCAACAGACATGCCAACTCCGGTTCTTAATCGGCAATATTTTGTTCCTAGAACATAACAAGAATCACATAGTCAAAAGCCGGCGTGCGGCGACGCGGCAAGATAGCACCGGTTTTGTGCCGAAAAGGGCGCCCTGCGGTCGTGAGGTGACGTGGGGACACAAGGAAGGCTGCAGCTAGTTCATGGGGCCATGCTTATGCTTCTGCTGTCATGCTGGTTAGATTCACACCCCTCCTTAGCTGCAATCTTCCTCAAGTGTCGACCTTCTCGGATCTTGGCCTTTTTGGCCTGAGCTTCTGCCGTCGGGGAAAGCTGCCATGCGCCTTCATACAGCGCACACAAAAGCGGCTCCCTTTCACAGCCGATCTTGGTGAGGACATCTGCCAGCATCTGGCTCGTATCAAGCCAGTGGGCATAAGCTTCGTCATCATCCTCGTAGTTGTTTTCTCCCAGCAGCTCCTTGATCTGAGCGACCAAGATTCGGTCTCTCTTGTCCGTGGGCTGGCCACAGTCCTTGTTCAAGGTGCTCTCCAGGCTCTTTGCATCGGTCATGCAAAGGACCTTTTGCTTGGCGAAGTCACGCTCCAGAGCATTGAACTTCTCGTTGGGGTGCTGGAACTCCATCAGAAGAGCTCGGACATACTCACCGGCCTCGACTCCCATCAAGAAGCCATTGGACTCGGCGGCAAGTGTGCTCCTGCAAACCCTCTTTATGGAACCACTGTAGGTCTCCAGCACAAACATGGGGGTGAGGCCACCGTTGAGGATCTCAGGCAAGGTGAGGGTCACCACAAAGCCACATTGCGACTTTAGCCCTTCCGTATTGGCGAAGCAGCTGTCGGCAAAGACGCAGACACTCACATCCTCGAGCTTCAGCTTGGGGTTGGAGACAAAGCGCCATGTGCTTTTGGAGGTCTCCTTGAGCATCTTTACAGCCTTGTTGAGGTTGACCACATCACGGATCTTCGGTGAACCCATGGACTGGGCAGCAACGGAGACGTTGACCATGACATCAGGACGCGTCTGGCGCGTCACCCATCCAAGCTGACCAATCAGCCCTCTGAAGGCTGTGATTTCCTCTGGTGTTAGAGGAGCTGCCATCATAGCACGTCGGTGCTTGTCCAGGGGCATGTAGTCCACACTCTCGATGGCGTCAAACTGGTCGAGCTCGATGGTGAAGTCGTCTCCTTGACGAACATTCTCTCCACAAAACCTGAAGTTCTTATGCTGCACCTTCAGGTAGATCTCCTTCTCCATGGAGGCAATGCTGTTCTCATACTCAGTGCCGGTTCCAGCACATAGCAAATCATCAACGTGGGTGCAGAGAACGCCTTGGAGGGTGCCATCAACAACCAACATGAAGAGCGCGGCTTCCAGCTTGGACATAGTCCAACCATGTGACTTCAATGTCTTGTAGAGCTTTCGCCACCATGATCGGCCAGCATCTTTGGTGCCGTAGATGGAGCCCAGTGCGCGGAAGAGGTCGTGAGGACTTACTCCAGGTGGAGGAGGTCTTGGTGGTCGCAGTAGTAGAAGGCGACTGATGCCCTGTGACTGCAAATAGGCCGTGGAGGCATCGCATGAAGTGATAACCCACTGCTTCATCACTGCAATCGAGCAGATGAGGTTGAACGCAAGGAGTGATGCCGTAGGGCTGTCTGAGCGAATGCCGGTGGGATTTTCTTGACATCCCTGAACCACTAGCCTGCTTTTGGCTTGGAATGGAAACTCCTTCTTGATCTGGGCATCTGTCTTGCCGGTCTTCTTTTGCATAGCTTTGGCCAAGAGCCGAGGTTTGCTGTTCTTGTCCACATGGACCCACCTGGTGCCGATGATCTGTGCGTCGTCGGGGAGGTTCTCGATCTGCTCTTTGGTGAGGACCTCAACAGCGCCAAATTTGGTCCAAGAATCCCACTCCTTCTGCATCGAAGCTTGGAACTTCTCACGATCTTCCTCGTTCAGGTTCTTGAGGGAGATCTCAGTGGATGCTGCCTTGCCAGTCAGGAAGGTCTCGGCAGGAGTGTCGTTGAACATGTCGTCGTAGTTGTCCTCAGATGAGGATTGCTCAGCACCGTACTCCTTCAGCAAGTTGATTTGTCCATCGTTCAGGTGTCTGAGCTGGTTCAGCCGGATGGTGTACGGAAGGCTTGGACAGTCCCAGGGAACATCGTCAGTATAGTACGGTCCGGCTTGTGGCTGGTACTCGGTGCGGACAGGACGATATGCGTGAGCATCCAGCCGGTCAGGATCCTGCATAGCGCTCTGAAGTGAGGTGGCTATTGCGCTTGCGCCAGCAGGTGGTGGCAGAATCTCACTTGGCCTTCGTGAGGTCTCTTGTGGAGGTAGAACAGCAGGTGGTGGAGTTGAGACTGGTAGTGGAGCTGGTTCAGGTTCTTGCAGTTGACCTGGTTCAGCATTTTCTGCTGTCATTTGTGGTTCTTGTACTGCTTCATGTTCAGGAAGACTTCCCATTATGCCAGGACGGCTAGCCGAGGATGGATTGCCAGCAGGTTCACCTGGACTGAACTGAAGCGGTGATGAATCTTCTCCTTGAGGGTCACCTTGAATCGCCAGAATGGCGGTGTGGCCACGGAGATCGGTATAGTTTCTTGCTCCTCGAGCGGCAGCCGGGTGAATGATCTCCTCAGGGATCGAATGTGCAGCCAAGAGCTCATCTTCACTTGCGAACCTTAGCTGTTCGCCAGTCACCAGGATCACGGACGGGCCATACCTGAGCCAGTAGGCATGTGGTTGTCCTCCTTCAGTGGCAGGTTCTGGATCTTCAGCTCGACGTTGGTTTCGACTTTCAGTGCCAATGACTCGAGCTGGGCCGAACCACCTGTAGTTCCGTCCTTGACCTCGGGACTGCTGAGTGGCAGATGCTTGGATGCGGTAGAAGTAGACGTAGCTGCCAATCGGGAAAGGTCCTCTCGTGGGAGTGGATTGGTGTAGAAGAGCTCGTCGAACTCTGGAGTCGTTGTCAAGGCGGATCTGAGCAACCCTGGCACTTTCTCTAATGCCAAGTGAGCGGGCAAATGATGAGCTCGGATCTTCTGCGGCCTCAAGTAGCTCCAACTTTTGAGCTTCATCTTCATGAAGTAGTGACCCGGGAATGCGAATCTCAGAAACTCCCAGCACCCATTGCGATGGTGAGAAGCCATTTGGCCGTGGAAAAGAGTTCCGGCACTGGGTCACGATGGAGGTCGCCATGATCACATCTTCGAGCCCTTGGAGTTGCATGTCATGGACGGTTTTGTAGAAGACGTCCTTCCAGAGTGCTCCGGCTCTCTCAACCTTACCATTCTGCCAAGGAGCCTCAAGGGGAACAGTTTCTTGCTCCACACCAAATTCCTTGAGGTAGTCGCTGAAGAAGGCGAGGTACTCCTTGCCACGATCAACTTGAATCGACTGAGGCAAACCTGCCCATGAGCTCCAAGATGTAAGGAAGTGCCTCAGGACTGCCTTCGAGGCTGGAGGCCCAGTGGATTGCCCAAGGCAAGAAACCACTTGATACCCGGTCGCGTCATCAATGACGTTGAGGAAGGAGAACGATGATCCAGCGACATCTCGGGCGTAGAAGACGTCAATCTGCAGTTGGTGGTTGAAGACGTACTTGGTGGGCAACCGAACTGGTTTCGGCCTCCGGCGTCTGATGCTGTCTCCACAAGCATCGCATCGTAGAAGGTCAGCACCTTGTAGGGCCTCAGGAACGGCTCCTTGTCGTCGCAGGATTCTCTGCAAGGTGGTGTTCGTCGGATGGCCGAACTGGACATGTAGGTCACGTAGTATCTTTCTGATCTCTGGTGAGATGGTAAGCCATCTCCTCCTCCGCTCACCCTCGGTGATGTTGAGGATAGGGTCCAATTCTGCCACTTGTGAAGCCCGGTGAGAGGCATCATCCATTGGAGGTGCTATGGCTTCGACCTCTGGGTCTTCTTCAGGAGGATTGATGTCTGGTAGTGCAGGTTGATCAGGTCGAATGTAGACCGGTGGGGCTGCATATTGGCCAACGAGCTGAGCGACTCTTCCCTTCTTCTTTCTTCTCTTTGCTGCGTGTTCACCAGGTGGACCGTCAGCGGGACGTACTTCAGAGGGAAAGGCCTCTGCCGTGCTGTAGGAGGCAGTTGCTTCAGCGGATGCCTGTTGGACCATTGCTTGCAGCACCATCTCATTCAGAGTGTGAGGCCAAACAGATGCCTGCGCTGTTCTCGAGCCATACTTGTTGTTGCCTTCAAGATGCTCATGTTGGTGAGAGTTGTCACATAGACATCCTTGGAACACGCTCTCTGCGGCGAGCAATGTGGTGACATAGAGAGAAGGCTTCTTGTTAGGAAGGCCGCTTTCAGCATCCTTGTAGCCAACTTGACATCCATCCACACGGATGGCCAGCAGTGTGTTATCTTCGATGTACTTGAGGATGTCGGCACATTCAGGCTGTTTGAGCCATGTTGAGCCCAAAGGTTGCTCGATGAAGACGTGCCTTTTGGCCTTGATACGGTCTTTTGTGATCTTGTTGACGAGATACAGCGTGGGCTTGTTGGCTTCTCGGAGGTCCATAACGGTCACGGCAGCGTGTCCACCTCGAGCTAGATTGAACGAGCTCCAATTTCCCCATGGACCGCAGGCCTGGGTGATGACAGTCAGGTAGGGGTCTTCCACGAGGAGGTCATGGCATACCCGCTTGTAACCCTTGGAGGAGTTGGCGTCCCATGTAGAAGATGATGAATCCAAGGGAATACCGATGGAGAAACCCGCCATGATGGCCAAGAGAGATAGGCCCATCTGACCAGCAAAAAGCTGTTTCACCCAAGTCTTGCCATAGGGCGGTTTGGTGGACACCTTCTTGAAGCTACCAGAGATGACCTGACGGTGATGCCAGTCTTGGCCATGGAGTGCATTGTCCCAGGACTCAATCTTCTTACTTTTCTTGTTCGTGGCCTTCCGGACGATGAACTGGTCGGGGTTGTCGTCAATGAAGTTCACATCCTCACAGATGAGACCATGTTCACCAGGAGCCGGTGTGGCTGAACCTCGAAGGTCACGTTCATAGGCATCACGGATGGCACGAGCTTCATCAAGAAACAGTTCACGAGCCATCATCTCGTCGTGGTAGTCGTCAGGATTCATCCCTTCATAGTCATGGACCATGTCTGGATCGATGCAGTCGTCCAGTTCTGACTGTGTCGGAGATTTTGGGGCGATGTCCTGAGCCATTGACTCCTCATGATCATTGCTCTTGTGCTCGGGTGACTGGTCCTGGATGGAGTCCATGTCAAAATCGAGGAGGCTGACAGCGAGATGGCCACGCGACGTGCGGACCAAAGGAAGCCCTGAGACACCGATCTTGTTGAAGCTCACAGTACGGGCACCAATGTCAATGACAGTTTGAAGCTCTTCCATGAAGGGTCGTGACAGGAGTAGAGGAAGTCCTCCGGGTGCTTCAGCGCTGTGGAGCTCACCATTGACCTTGCTGATGCCGACCGGAAAGATCTTGACGGTGTCACTGGCGATCTGGCCTCCGACGCCCTTGAACGATTGTTTCTTTAAGCGTCGTTGAGAGGAGAGACCAATCTTCTCCAGTTCAGCTTCAAACGCTGTTGCCCACTCAGCACCATGCATCGTTCTGGTGCAACCCGAGTCGAGGATGGCCAAGCCTGGAGGATCTTGAGCGCTGGAGGCATAGGTGGTCTCCATGTCCAGGCGTTCATGGTCATCTGCAGCCTCGTGGGTCATGAGGTTCTCGAAGGCCATGAGAACTTCAAAGTCGTGCAGCTGGACCATCTCAGGGTGGCCATCTTGGACAGAGATAGGGACCCGCATGTGACGTTGTGCCACCATTTCATCAGGGTTGGCTGTCCTCTTTGGTCCGGAGGTTGCGCTGCCCTTCCATTGCCTCATGGTTGAACTGTGAAGCAGTCGCACTCTGCCGAACAGGTAGAAGGCGAAGCGGTAGGTCTCCGGCGCCATGGGCTGATCTTCAAGAGCCATCTTCATAGTTTGGTGGCAGAACACACTGGCCTCTGCTGATGAGGCAATGGAGGCATAGTCATACCCTTCATATGGTGTTCCAGGCCCAAAGACAGAGGTGTCACCAGGAAGTGGCTGCAGGATGTCATAGTCAGCCTCGGCCAACGGAGGAAACATAGGCAGCTCAACGGATGGAGATATCAGAACGCCATATGCCCAAAAGCGTGGTTCAGGAGAAGCACCAGGGCGGACAATCCGTGCCGTAGCTGATGAGGGCGATGAACCATCCTTAGATCGACTTGCGTGTTCCCAACTGGCTGTGCTTGGAGATCCGGGCTGTCGTGGGTAGCCTTGTGGAGGTTGAAGTGCTTGTCGCTCCTCATCTTCGGCCAATGCTCTGTCTCGCGACTTGCAGACATTCGCAAAGAGCTCACGAGATCTTGCGGCACGTCCCCAGTTGGTGCATAGTGCAATCTGAACCATGTAGCGCCACAGCTGAGAGGCGTCCTTGCGCTTGGCCACGATGACTGTCTTGTCACAGTCCTTGTCCTTGCAGGTCACATGTCGTGTGTGGCCATTTGCGCCTCGATGAAACTCACGTTCATTTCCACCAAAATACGAGCTGTGCTCACAGAGTTGGGTGTCCTTCAGCACCATCAGCACTTCACGTGCTGGAATTGGAGAAACATGCATAGTGAAACTTGCTCCAGAAGTGGTTGCAGGTCCATCAATCTGGTAGTTGCGCACGGAGTCGATGTAGTGTGGCAAAATGCTCACAGGCTCAGTGGGAGCAGTCACTGGCTTCTGCTCGACATCATTGGGCTCTTCCAAAGTGTTGCCCGGCGCACTCTCAGTGATCTTCTCATCCGCAGGGACTTGCTTATTCTCAGAAAGGGGGGCATTCGATGGCAGCTCGTCAAAGTCAGTGGCCTTGACATACTCAGGAGCTGTGTCATACTCAGGAAGGGTGAAGGTGGCGTTGATCTCCTTCTCATCATCGGATTCGATGCCTTCATGCAAGACAAAGAAGGTCGTCTTGCTGTCACTCTTCTTCTTCGGAGGAGAGAGTCCAGACCTGTGCGATTTCTGCTTCTTCTTCTTGGTGTTGGGACAGGCGTCATCACCAACCCAATGGCCTTTCTGGCCGCAGCTCGTACAGGCAGTGACAGACTTCAGGAACTTGACGGCGGTGTTACGTTGTTCCTTGGCCTTGGCATCGAAGGAGATGTCACCTGAAGCTCGGAAGGGCAGTGACTGAGAGGAAGCTGGTGATGCCTTTCCTTTCTTGCCCTTTCCTTTTCCCTTGCCCTTCTTGAACTGCATGACAGTAGCCAGGGCTTCGGCCACCTCTTCATTGCCTTCAGACTCTTGGAGGTCTTGCGCAAGTGCCTCCAAACCATCATCTTCCCAGAAGGCTTCTGCACCATCGAAGTTCGGTGCCTCATACTCTTCATCCTCGTCCTCCATGTAGGCCTCATCATCGTAGTACTCGAAGGCATCATCGTAGCCCTCGATGTCAATCTCGGAGGTGAGGACATGCTGAGGTCGGCCACGGCCCTTGCCCGGCTTGTAGCCGCGGCGGAAGAGAATGCCAGAGTCTCTGGCAGCTGGTGTAGTGCGGCCACAACCAAGTAGATCTCGCCGGTGAACTGGCTTGCCTGAAGCCTGAGGAAACTGAATCCCCATCGCGTTGGCGATCTTCTCAAAGTCGTAGTCGTTGTTCACCGAGCTGAGGACCGAGACTTGCTCCTGAGGGCTAAGACCACCGAAGAGCAGCAGCATCATCGCTCGGAGGCTTTTGGGCACTGAGGTGCCACTGCCGACTTCTTCAAGCCGTCTGAAGTCTTGTTCTCGGCGGATGATGTATTGCTGCATCGATTCTTGGGGTCGTCTCCACACCTGGGGGCTGTAGAAGGCGGTGATGAACAACTCGTTGATCTTCACAGGCTTGACAGCGGCAATCTCTCCCTTGAGCGTCTCCAGAAATGCCCTCAGTCCCTTGTCGGTGGGATTGCCATCGGAGTCTTTCGTCTTGATCTTGGTGTGCTCCAGCTTTCTCACGGCCTCGTAGGCCGCACCACTCAGCCCTGCACGGAGGTGAACCGCCGTGGCGGCTTGGAGTGCTGGCTGACCATCTCTTCCATGCCATAGATCCCATGCCCTTTCTTCATACTCATCATAGAGCTCCGGGTCGCCGTTGAACTGCGGCACACCATGCCGATCAGTGTCAATGCGCTGAGCCATCAGGTAGTAGGCGACCAGGAGGGCGTAGTGCAAGCGTGCGAGGTCCGGCCCGGCAGGGGCGGGACCTCAGAGGCGAGCGGCCGCCGTCGGCCGCAGGCGAGAGGCGGCGGCTGCCGGCAGCGCGGCAGCAGCGCGCAAGGGGCGCGCCGGAAGCGCCTCGCGAGAAGCGCCAGGCGAAAACCTATCACAGATAGGCTCCGCCTACCATCAAAAGCCGGCGTGCGGCGACGCGGCAAGATAGCACCGGTTTTGTGCCGAAAAGGGCGCCCTGCGGTCGTGAGGTGACGTGGGGACACAAGGAAGGCTGCAGCTAGTTCATGGGGCCATGCTTATGCTTCTGCTGTCATGCTGGTTAGATTCACACATAGTAATTAGTCATACCATGTCATACATCTATGGACGAAAGAAACATTAAAGGAAACAAATCATAAAGGTCATACAACGTCATACATCTACTTGGGGACCGCTTCTTTTCTTTTCTTTGTTGGCTTTGCCCAAGCGTTGGGGACCGGTCATCCCGGCAAGCCGAGCGCAGCGCCGAGCCGTGGAGCTGCCGTTTTTGAGGCAGCGCGGGGGATGAGTCACCGGTGCAACGGTTGTCTTTGCTGCAAGGGCTGCTGGCAGCAAGCCACAGATATCAGGCGCGGTGTCGTTTTGTCGTTCGGACTGCTGAATCCCGGGGGAGGTAAGGAGGGTCACATGCAAAGAAGCAAAAAAAGGAGTCTTGGTATCAATCTCAAGAGTTTCCCCTGACAGGTGAAGCGCCTTCGACTCTGGTGCGAACAACAGCTCTGTGAATCTGGGCAGATCCAACCGATTCCTAAAGTTCACGGGGGGAGTTTGGTCAGTTTTTTCAAATGATTTATATTCTGTTGTATAGGCAATTAAGACGTGTTTGGTTGGTTTGCATTTCGTAGCTCTCCCTTTTTGTTCATTTTAGTATTTTACTATGTTTTGCCTCGAGATCCCATGAATTTCCATGAGGTGTTTCTCATGCTGCCGCGGAAAAAGATGCCCCATCTGTGCCCGGTTGCTGAGGAGTCCATCACGGTGCAGAAGGTCTGTGACGTGCTGTGCCAAGCACACCTCTACGAGGCCTCCGTTGGTCGGACCGACCATGAACGACCGCAGCGCCGCAGCGTCGGTCGAAGACACGCCGCGGAGATGGGCGGCTCTTTGAGATCTGGTGAGTCGATGCAGATGTTCTCTTTTTTGGAAGCGCTTCTAGGTTGGAGGCCATCGCTCTTAGGTTGGAGGCCATCGGAGAAGCTTAGAGAACACTGATGCTAGAAGGAGACAGGTTTGAGCTCAACGCTGGGCTTTGGGTTTCACCTGTGAGGCCAAGTCATTGGAGAAAGCATGCCTTGCTTTCATCAAGAACCATATGGAGGAGCATCCAGCTGGCCATGTTTTGTATCTTCTGAACAGATAGGCAATTCGTTTATCAAAGCTTCTTTGGAAGCAAAAAGCAATCTGTAAGGAATCTCTGTCGAGCGTCTTCGCTCCTTTAAGGGGCTAGACAAGTAATATAGAAACCGATGTTTCTTTCCAGGTACAAACCTTGGCAGCCTTGTCAAGGCAGTCAAAGAATAGCTACCCTTCCGCAAGATTGACCGTCCAACACGACACAGAAGAGTCTGTAAAGAAGCGGCGCTTGATCTATTCCAATTTGCGCTCACCCAAGACCTGCTGCAGACTTGCACTCGAATGGTGGGAGTGATCACCTGAAAACCAAAATCTTTGACCAGGAAGTTGTAATCACTACTTCCTTTGGACAGCTCAGCAAAGACTGGCCACAGGCAGGGTGGACGAGTGAGAGTACTCTCGGTTTATTGAGAGTACTCTCGTCAGTGGACCTGAGAGTTGGGTTGGTTTTGGAGGGGTTGAACTACCGAGACATCAGACGAGAGACATCAGACGAGAGACAACGAGACAACGAGAGCAGCCTGCTCGTGGCGGTATCGGTAGGGGCATTGATTTGTTCAAAGGGCTGAGCCAAAGAGCTACAGGCTGCATTGAATTTGCTAGTAACAAGGGCATCGCTACGAACAGAGCAAGGACGCTACTAGTAGCTCCTGGCATTGCTACTAGTAACAAGAAGCTACTAATTTGGCCACACTCGTCAGGTGATGCTCAAGATTAGCATCTTCACTGCTGGCCACCTGTCAGCAGCTTTCCACACTTTCCTGATCCCAGAACTGCTGCCCAATCAAGAGGAGGGGGGGCCATGGTATCATGGTCAAGCTGATACTACTGTTGATACATTATAATACATTGTCTTCCTGTTGAAGTTAGATGCCCCCGAGGCTTGTAACTCGGCATAAAGCCACCCTCCCTCCCTCTCTCTCCGTCCCTGATTTGACCTCTTCTTCTTGTGTTGGGTTCTACAATGCACCGTGGTTGTTCTTTGTTGCACTGCATCACTGCACCTGAGGGGTATCAGAAAACCGTGCGACTCCGGCCCTTGACGCCTTTGAGGGAAAAGGGGACGGGGCCACTTGGCTCTTGGTGCGGGAGGCGGATGGATCCGGCTGTGGCTGTAATGGCACATTCATCACATTGACAAGAACGAGACGTAGTGGATCCAGGGTGAGATTTACTGTAGAATGTCTGACAAAACACAGGAGTTCGGAGTTTGTCGGTCCACTAGATGAGCTCGCCTCCTTGTGCGCTATTTAATTATCCAACTAAGGGGAAGAAGCGGAAGCAGCCAGAAAGCTGATGTTCCTTCGTGCAGGTGTGAATATTCACCCGTGGGTGCGGTGGTAGAGTGCATTGCGGGAAATCATGCCGTGAGCATGTGGTGCACACAACATCCGCTGTGCTATTCAGCACTTGAGCCTTCCTCCAGCTGCGCTGCTGAAATTCGTGCCACTTCGAGCAGAGTTGCAGCTGAAGATACAAAAACAGATGTGCGTCGCATAGGTTACTACACGCAGCTTGCTGTTCTGTGAGATCAGGGAGATTGCACACACTGAGGTGTGATTCTTTTCGAGAGTGTGACATATATGTTTAATATATATATATATAACTAAAAGCAGATTTTGTGGCTGCCAACCAGTGCTAGAAAAATCAGACACAGTGTTGGCATTGCATAGTGTTTCCTTTGACATCGTTTGTTTCAGCTTCAAGGCCATATCTCCCTCTACGATTTGGACCCACAGGCTGTTCAGGCTCGTTACTGCAGCGGCAATCACTGCTGGGTTGTGCCTTGCTCACCAGCTCCCTATGGGAGAACACAATTTAGTTAGAAGTAAGATCCCCGTAGACCACTGTGCAACAGTTCACACCTCATCCTGTTTGCGGTTTGTTGCCAACAAAGAAAGGCTGTACGTTCAAACGACAAGGAGCAAAGTCATACTTCTTGAGCCTGCCTTCGTTCTTACAGATTCAGAGAAGTCCGTCGGAGTCTGTCAGATGGGTTTGCCAAGCATAAAAACACCCAATGATAGCCGCAAGAAATACAAGGACTGGCCAGAGGTGGTCACCCGATCTCATGTGTAAACCAGTCCGCTGAACCAGGACCCGTGGAACCATGTGGAACCCCCTCGACCCGTCGTCTCATCCTTCTGCTCAAGCTGACAGGTCTTGTGGGACTTCCGTGCCTTCCTTCTGGCCACGTCCTTGGTGGAATCATTGCTCTTTGAGGCCATTTGAGGCACTTTGAGGCACTTTGAGACACTTTGGCTACTGTCACGACAAGAGATCTTGACCCACCACTTTACCTGGAGAAGATTACACTGTTTGTGTCATTGTTTATGTATGTTTGTGTCTTCCAAGGATCCAAACTCCAGAGTTTTCTTTCTTTCAACCCTGTTGCTGTGGTGGACCCGTTCTCGGCGGGAGCCTGCATGCACACATCTGCACCCAGGAAGCATATGGTGACATCATGACGGCGTGGCACCAAGGGTTGGATCCCAAGAAGCGTGGAAAGATCGAGGCGCGGCCAGGGGGTTCGCCCATGGCAGGTTCGGCACAGCCGCCGAACCACAAGGTTCGGGGTGGAAGTGCGTGGTTCCACGTTGGTGGAAGCTCGATTCTCCTGAACCGAGACCATGTGGGGAGAACTTGAGGGAAGAGGAACTGCTGATGGCTCATTTCCAGTCGATCACTCCAGGAGGAGGACTTTGCCAAGCGCTTGAAAGACATGGGGTACGAGGCCAGGGAGAAGCCTGCGCGCCTTAGGTCTTTCCGCACATTACGCATGAATTAATCTTGGTATGCTATGGAAGAAGTGTGTTTGAATGGCTCAATGATGCTCAATGGCCATTTCAAAGATCACTTGTCATAGAGGGCTGGTGTGTGCAACGAACCGTTGTGTGGACATTTGGTGATCACCTCACCCTGTAATAGTGCAAAAGCCCTGAGATGTGAATATTCTAACTTGATCGCCATTACCCAAGCCTGTGCTGTACTGTTTGTGTGGTTTGCGGTCTTTGCTCCATCCATCAGCTGCGTTTCAGGATGATGTCAAGAAGCTTTGGCAGCTTCTTCTAGCGGAGCCGTCAGAACTCCCAGCTCCCAGATACTGTACATGCCTGGTGCTCTTTTTTGGAGTGTCCAGATGACGGGTCATTTTCAATCATTTTCACAAAGAGCAGCTACGTACCTCTGAAACCATCTCAAACCTACCATTTTAGTTGAACAGAAACAGAAGATCGGTGATTCGCTTTCCAGATTCTCTGCTGCGAAAGCACAGCCCAAGGCACCCGATCCCGGCACCCGAGGCATCGAAAATATATCGTCCTCCGCGACATCGACGCCAAGGCTGCAGATGTTTGGCACCTCAGATTGCCGATTCGGCCGGGTGAGGGGCGCCGGGTCGGCACCGATGTAGCACCAGGGGCTGGCTGTGCGAGTTTCCGGGAAGCTCGTAGCGAAGGCCTTCAAAGTTCAGTAGGTCGTAGTAGGTCGTAGTGGGTCGTAGTAGGTCGTAGTAGAAGATGGGAACTGCGAGATCTGACCTGTTAGCGAGTCTATGTCGATATGTCCATCTGACACCAAGCGCCCATGAGGGCATAGAAGATTTGCACGCGGGTCGTCCATGCTGAAGTTGCTGGCACGGGCATGTGGGTTGGGCATGAGCCTTTTCCTCAGGCCTTCTTCCGGGGAGATGACAAGGCATTGACCCTTTATGGCACTAAAAGCTATGCACTTAGTTTGTTGGCCTCTGATTTGTCGATCGCTTGGTTTGTAATGAGTCGATGTTGGTTCATGGTGGACAGACTTCTGAATGGCCTTTCGGCTTGTCAACTTGGTCTTTTTGCTGTGGCTTCCTGATTTGAGGTGGTCCTCGGGCATCTCCAAGCAAGTGGACAGGAAAGGTTGTAGATGTGACCTTAGCATGGGTTGCTGGTTTTCTCTTCAAAGCCGCTGCCGCTGCCGGTGCAGGAAAGCTGCTCAGCCCAAAGAACGACGAAGAAGAGGGTGAGGCAGGCTCATCGATGTTTGCTTCGGCTTCGCAGGGCAACTAGCACTTTCAGTGCCCAGAGGTAGGCTGGTCTGCCCAATTCGAGACATGTCCATGAATTGATGTCGATTATTCCTTTTTTTTTCAATACCTGCTTTAAGCACCGTGTCCTTGGTGCCCTAGGGCACCTCCAGCGCGCGCCAGGAGGCGGCCGCTCGCGGGTCCAGCAGCAAGGATCCCAATACTCCGAAGAGCCTGCAGCTGCCGGGGACACCTTCCAAGAGGTGACACCATGGTGACACCGATGGAAGGGCAATTCCAAGAAAGAAAACATCCTTCGGACTCGGTTTCGGCGGTTCTGAAAGAGCCTTCATCCGGTCAAGTGGACACGAACAATTGGTTGGTTTTTAACTGTTCCCTTCTTTTAGATGTTTTCCGTTTTCCCATGTCTTCCGGTGCAGCCAAGTCCCTCAAACCTTTTAAACACACTCCGGGAGGGCTCCTTTTGTTCTCAGAGAACAACGGACGGTCCTCGGTCGGATCCGGCCCATCGCCGATTCCGTGAGCGAACCCGTACTTCGCTCCCCGTCGCAGGCCGAACTCCTCGCAGTCGGTGAGCTCGCGTGCTCCCTCCAACCAGTCGGTGGCACGGTCCCATGCGGGGGACGACGAGGCGGGTCCACGGCGGTGTGGCGGAGCCGTGGGGTGCGGTGTTCCGTGGGTGACGTGGTGACGTGGGCGGTGACGTGGTGACGTGGAGAGAAGGAGCAGAAGTAGAAGAAGATGGGTCCGAAAGGCCTCAGGGTGTTGTGACAACAGGCGAAAACATGTGACAATCATGTCACCATGCTCGGGGAAAAGACACTTCCAAATGATACAGGGAGCGACTATGATGGTGTTACATTCGTGGCCTCACATGTGTCCCGTGTCCTAAGATGTGAATGGCCCTTTTGTGGCTCAGAGAAGCTGCTTTGGTATCCCGACATGGAGGGTTTTGAGAGTATACATTGTGATTCTGGGGTACTGTACTTATTGATACTTGTATGTAGGATTGTAGGGAAGATTTCTTCCAGGTTGATCATGCGTCCATTTTCGCACTCCCGCTCCTGGATGCTCATGGAAGGAAAATGCGGTCTACCGGCCCACACGCATTGCAATCTGGTGTGGCGCTTACAATTGATTTCAGAAAGCTGAGGGTGAGCTGGCTAGGCTGGAAGAGATTGTGGCGGGTTGTCAGCTGATGAGTCACACATCGATCTATCCTCAAGTCCTGAAGGACTTACCCCTCCGCAAGCTAACATGGAACCTGAGAATTGACCAGTGGAAGACTATGTTCCTCTACAACCCAGTGGTTTAGGGGGTCCATGTGGGTCTCTGCAGGGGAGTAGACCCACAAATCTTCTGTGACTGGAGTGTTTCATCCAGTTTCTTGCGAGTCTTAGGTCGGAGGAGCTCGGGGCTCGCAAGCGTCAGGCCGGTGCGAAGCTGGGGCCGAACCCGCGCCAGACTAGACCGCCAGAGCCAGGAGTAGGATGGAGTGGATGGAGTGGATCAGCCAACCCTTGATATGATCATTTTCGATTCACAGTTTTGCAACATTGAGATACAATATCCATTCGCATCCATTCGCTCTATCCATGCTCTTGGAGCGTGTCTTTATATGTTGGAGCGTCATTCAACCGATACGAGTCTCACTTAGGTTGAAGAGTTAACTCTAAGTTGTCTACATGAAAAGGACGAATTACACATGGCAGAGAGCCATTGCACATGAGCTCAACCATGAGTTCATTGATTTTCTTTCCACGAGGGCAACCTTCTCAGACTCAAACGAAGAGATCACATTAGTTTCTTTATGCTTCTTTGGAGCAGAAAAAACATCCTATTTGATGTCAGGGCGCGGAGATGCGGCTGAGACAGGAAATGGATCTGCAAGTAGGTCGGCCGATCGTCGATGCGGCGCGAAGCGCGGCGCGATGATCGCGGCGCGATGCGGTGAACACCACACTCGAAGTCATGTAAGTCTGGCCCAGGCCAAACATGACTCAGTAGAATGGACATATCTTCCCCTCAGCTTCAGACGTTGAATCAACGCTTCAGACTCAACTTCTTACTTTGCAGGGCCCAAGTGCTTGGATGACTACCGCAGACAACTGGTCAATGGATGTGGTAGTCTGGCTTCGTCCTCAGATCGCAAAGCGTCTTAATCTGCAGCCTTTCAGCAGTTGTCCCAGCAGCCACATGAGCATCGGGTAGATGAGCCTGTGGGGCTTAGTATTATATAGACATGCTTTGAACGCCTTCCTGGCAGTATGGAGAGTTCATGGGAGCACAGCATTTTCCTATATTTTCCTCATTACAATCCATCAACCGTTTGAAGCGAGGCTGCCGCATGGAGATACCGGATGGATACGGAATGCCAGGAACTAAGAGGGAAGAGCAAGATCTCTCTCATAAGCTTGAATTGGTGAAGATGTGAAGCCTCTTTCACTTGCAAGGTGCATGTTGTCTCCACTGAAAATCCCACTGTGCTCAACAGTCTCTTTCCAGTCACCTCACACCTGCCCAGATTGTTTTCGAGTCCATTCATTGCAATACAACCACCCAAATGAAAGTTACTGAACAAACTCAAATTGAACCTCCGAGGCACCGGGCGCATGTCCTTCATGCAGTTCGTCATGGCCATCGACCGCACCGGGGGGCCACAGCCTTAACGATGGCCGCGCGCAGAGCGCGCACGTGCAGAACGCGGGGGCGGGCAACCCGGGAGTTTCCATGGTATTTTTGTCCATCACGCTGTCAGTTTCCTCTAAGACATATGGAGGGTATACCCTCCACATTTGGTTTAGATCCAGTTATGGGTCCTCGTTGGGAACATCAATCAGGCCCCAGTCCGGTGGTGTTTTCGGGGTCGAAGAGAGGGCGGCTCCAAGCGTGGCGCAACCACGCTGGACCGGGTCCCGGACCGGCCCCAAAGGTATTCGGGCAGCGTGAAGCAGCTTTGGGCCGAGATCTCCGGTGAGAGAGATGAAGCAACCTTTCAGGCGGGGAGCCGTGACCTCCGGACAGCGGCGGAGGTGGCCGAACGAACGGGCCGGTGATTGGTTCGGGGTTTCCCTATGTAGCATGGGTATGTCGTGTCATGCGTCATGCGCGACATGTTTCAGCAAACAACTTGCAGCAGGAACGAGGGGTACGCCACCCTGAAAGTTGTTTTCAGGGTCCGTGTGAATCTTCCAGGGCGTACTCTCTTCGCAGCCACTTTCAGCCATGCCAGGACCTTGATCCCGATGGATTCGAGCTCTTGCAGGTGGACTGGGTAGGTTTCGACCTGGGGGGACTGATAGGGACGGATGACTGATGGACATTCGGGTTGGACTCACTCAGACCGACCGACCAGCAGCTCTGCATAGCTCTGCCGCCCGGGGCATTCGCATTTGCTCTGTCGGGCAGTACGACTTCGAGACCACGTGGGGAGGCATTCCGGAAACGAATGGTGAGGCCTTTGGAATGTGGATTGTGGATAACTACGAGAACTTCCCAGGCGACGAAGACGGCTGAGAAAGTCTGAGAGACCTCCATGAAGCAACCGACCTCGTAGATTGGCAAATGATGACAGATATTATTCATATTTTATAATTTCATGATATTTACATATAGTATAATGATAATAATATAAAAGTGAGCCACTCCACATGAATAAACACGTCCACTGATGTCCATCGATTGGCGGTTGATATATGTTGCATTTTCGCAGTTCAACTGTCAATCACTGCTTGAATCCGCTGAAACCTGACAGGTTTCTGGAAAACCATCGAGAAGTACAATGATGAGCAGCTAGATGAGGCAAAGAAAGGGAAAGATAGAGAAACGTGCGAGGGGGTGTATCAAATACACATGGCACCCTGGTAAAAGGATGTAACAGGTACAAATGACTGACTCTCATAGGCTGAAGCCCCAACAGATGGACCAACCGCGCGAACGACCAGGGCCATTTTTTTGTCGGGCGCATCAGAAAGTCACATGAACCAGAAGAGGCCCATGCAGTCATGAAGGTTGCAGCCCTGCCAGGAAGATTTTGTGGGCAGATGCCTTGAGACTGGCCTGGAGGGTATCTCAAAGCGAGAAATGAAGAGGAGATCGTTCGCATCGTTCTGTGATTTTGTGAGCGATGCTGCATGCTTAAGCTGTAGCCATCCATTGGAGCTCAATGGATATTGGTAGCTGATGCAGAAAGTGGTCTGGTTGCAGGATCTTCAAGATGCTTCTGCCAGAGCCCAGCACTGGTCGAACCAAGCTCATTCAACCTGACTTGCAGGCGCTCTGCGTTGGCTTGCATAATGATCTTAAGGTCTCGATCGCAGCGATTGATCAATCTTTATGCTGACACATTTGTTTACATGATGGTCTTACAGTCTTGCTGATGCCTTCGATCGCTGACAGGTGTTTCCGCACGGTCGGAATCCGACCTCCATCGCTTCGTCCAACGCTTCGTCGCTTCGTCCGGTCTGGGCAGGTTTTGATGATTGCCATGCCTGTGGAGAGCAAGCAGGTGATGAAGCGCAGCCTCACTGAGAAGACCGTGGGAGTTGAGAAAACCACAAGCTCTGAGAAGACGGACAGGGAAGAGGACTGGGACGGATGGGGCCTACAGCCAGGGTGGGAAGTCCAGACAAAATCGCCACGCTCTGCTTGGTTTAGGTCATTTCCGAAAACAACCGGGGCGGCCTTGCACTTGGGATGTCTTGAGAAAAAAGAAGTCACCAAAACGACCACCCTCCCGTCACCTGCCTTCGCACCCGTCCCATCCCGCGGTGGTCCGCGCAGCGCGCGTGGACTCGCGGCAGGAGTCGATGGCGTCCCCCAGCTCCTCGCCCAAGTCGCCGCTCCGCCCGCCCTCGCCGGCGTCCCCGCAGTCGCCGGCCACGCCACGGTCGCCGTCGCGGGTGAAGTGTTCCCCGGAGCTGCCGGTGATCTCCGTGCAGGCCACCGGGAGGGGTTTGAAAGGCCACGGGGAGGGTGTGAAGGAGCGAAGCCTTTTGCAGATGGGGAGAAGGAGGGGTTTTTCTCCTTATGGGGAGAAAGCACTTAGTTATATAAGATCTATATATGTATGAATTTTTTAGATGGATGTCGTTTGTATGTGAGGATGTTGACTGCGATGTAAGGTAGTGTAGTGTGTTTTGGTGGTCGCATGCTAGAAATGACTTCCACTGCATGGCATGACTGATTTGATCATGTTTGATCTAGCAGGATCAATCTGCAAGTTCTCAGTGGGCCTCATGCTGCATTTCCCTTTTCCTCGCCAGGAATTTCGCAGAACGCTCAAGAGGCTTTATGGCAGTGTGCATGCTGGCTGGGTGAAGTATTTGGACGTCACAGAGGCCCGGGACACGTGAGGAAAGCGTCTCCACGGTTTCCGTGGTCTCCACCCCCCTCTGCCCAGACTCCGACCGATCTCCGTCCTCCACTCGCTGCTCCGTGCACAGCGGTCCTGCGCACGTGCCGCGTGCAGGTTGGACGCGTGCCCAAAGGGGAGTTCGTGAATCGAGCCCGGGCCATCGGTGTGACAGGCACCCCGGAGAGCAGTTGAGGAAAGCATGCCTCGGTCTGCGGCGGGTCAGAGAAATTCGATCGGGACCGACCCATACCTAGCCGAGCCCCCAATTTTTTTGTTTTATTTGTTAATCTCAGAACAAATCAAGTGTGATGTGGCTCTTGGGTTCTCCTCGTCGCAGAAGAAACATGTGAACCCTCAAAGCGATGGGATCACAATGCCAACTGTTTCTGATGTCTTCCATCATGGGATCCACAGGTGTTGCTTCGCTCAGTGCCCTCAAAGATCGAAATTTTCTCTTCACAGGGCACGTGGCTGCACTCTTTGCTGAAATAGACGTGGACAACAAGGGCTTCATCACCCTCCAGGCTGGAAAATCGGATCCATGTCTACATGGCTGGGAAGGAGTGTTTTGACATGTCTTGACATTTTTTTGGGTGGATGGCTCTGATGGCTCCATGAAAATCATGAAACTCATGGAAGCTTCCTAAGTCGCTCTGCTGTTGTGGTCGCTGTTGGAGTCTGCTGTTCAGGATCTGGATCCGGAGGTGTCTAAGATCACCAAGCAATTCTTCCGCAAGGTTCAGGACGGATGATGTCGGACGTGAGGTCCAAGGACTCCATTGGTGTTTGTAAAAGAGATCCTAGAGGATGAAGGCTCATGTTTGAGGCTCAGTTTGCAAGCAGTTTCAGACTCCAGATGCAGACTCCTTCGCCACTTGCATCCACTTGGTGTGTGGCATAGTTCTATCAAATCTTATTGACCAAATTGATTTCGCACTCTGCCAAACTGCAAGTAACGCTCTGTACCAAAGAAGCTTTGCACCCTCTTAGGAGACTTATGGCTCCATCGAAGAAGCTTGGCCCAAAGCCTTCGATGTCGCTCTGGCACGGTTTTGTCGGACGCCACGCGCCGTGACTCGAGGCGATGGGAAGATGGGACGTGAATCGAGACGTGAAAGGACCATGTGGACGTGACTGAAAAAAAAACCAATGAAGATATAGAAGCATGATATCTGTTCATATCTGTAGTCGCAGAGCCACTATGTGAACATGCGTGGAAGAACATGGAGAAGGAGCTTGCTCTGTGGACTCCTGATTGGACCTCCCAGGTCTCCAAGCGAAGAGTCGTGGGGAAGAAGGAGTTTGCCAAAGGTTGTGAGGCGATTGGCTTTGAAGGCCTGAAAAGGGTGACCGGCAGGTCTGAGGCAAAAATTCTGAGGAGTCCTATAGTAAATAGCTTTGACAAAAAGCTCTATGAACCATGAATACGCCTTCTCGAAGCACTTCGTGACATGGATGTTGCTAGTAGTGGATTCCACAGCCTAACTTTCTTGTGAATTGTGTCGATGGATATCAGACGATGTCTGGAAGAGAGCAGCTCCTTCTTTGGGGGCTGGGTGCGTGGGTGGTGCTTTTCTTCATGACCACCCTACCTGCGTATGAGGTGATGCGAACAAGCTTTTCTCCTTCCTCCAACCTGAAGCTGGTCGAACGTGGGGTCGCCCGGAGTGGCCAAAAGCCAGGTCCACAGCAGTTGGCATCCCTTCCACAAGCAAGCAGTTGGCATCCCCATGAGCTCGCATGGATAGATCCATGGACTCTTTCTTCATTCTTTCCCCTCCAAAAACGCCTGGATTCACCAGCTGCCCTACGGCGAGCCCGCCCCCAGCAGCGCGAGCTCCGCCTCGCTTCGCTTGGCGCCGCGAGGTTTCTGGAGTTGGCCGATCTCGGTCGCCACGCGGCGGCCACCGTGAAGGCCCCCGAGCTGCCGCCCATCTCTGCGGAGGAGACGCCCGAAACGCGCCATGGTCTCCGTTGCCTTCGGCCAAGGTTGGCAGAGGTTGGCAAGGGCCAGGCCAACAAGAACGCGTTGTACAGGTGGTTTTGGGATCGGATCTGAGTCTCTTGGCTTGCCACGGTGTTCCGGTGCGGCAAATGGCTGATCTTGGAAAGGATCGGACAGTGGTTGTTGCCGCATGTTGTTGCCAAGACGCGGGGATGTGTGGGCAGTAGCGGATGATGCCTTCACCGTGGCTGCCAGGAGTTCCGCAACACCCTGAGAACCGATTATGGAAGCATCCATGGCGGTTGGTTGAAATGCTTAGACGTGTCAGAGGCACCAGTGGGCGCCAGCATGTAGCATGTCACCACGGGTCTATTGCTGAACATTCACACACGGATCCAGTTTCATATTGAAAGCTGAGCAGGAAAGAATGGACCTTGCTCACGGCATGTTCCAGTGTGTGAAACAGCTAGGATGCAGGGATTCCAACGGATTCCAACGGATTCCAATCGTTTTCATACATTTTTAAAGACCTTTTTTCAGATGGGAGTGCTGCAACCAACAAGCAGCGCCTCTTTGGCGTCAGGTGGGACGAGTACGGCGGGGAGACTTTGTGACCCGAACCAGAGGTATGGGGCTCACAGGCGTGGCCGTGCGGGGCTTCACTGGGCCGTGCGGGCCCAAACAGCGGTGGAAGAGCGGTGGAAGACATGCGAGAAGAAGACTGCACCACATGAAGACATGTGAGAGTGAAGCGTTATTCTTTTTTTGTGGAGCTTGTGGGCCACGTTCACCGCTCTGGAACAGGGAACGTGGCAGCACTCTTTCTAGACCTCGATGTGGACAAGAAGGGCTTCATCACGCTGCAGGCTTGAATTGTCATCTCGATGTACAGGCTTGTTGGCTTCATCTCTTTGGTGCCATGACTTCACCCAGTCAATGAACATACAAGCATGTTGGCTGACATGTCACAGCTAGTCATTCAGGGGGTTCATCATCCGTCGTCATCAGCTTAGCGAGCTGCGGCCCAGGATTTGAATCCGGAGGTGAAACTCCTTGTGAAGCATTTCTTCCGCTGCGCCCAGGAGCGAAGCGAGTTTTTTGGGTTCCTGCCCAACATGGTTTCCTGTCGTGTCACATTGATAAGATTGGTAAGGCGTTTGAGAAATTGAGATAGATAGACTGAGCTGGATTGAGATGGATGGCAAGCGTGGAGGAGAGCTATGGCTCCATCGAAGAAGCGTGGCCCAAGGCGTTTGACGCCCTCCTGGCATTGATTGCATTGGGGATTTGGACGCTCCCACCCTGGTGCTTATATATGCTTATATTGTAGGTCACGAATGCTTTTTCACCGCCATCACCAACGGACGCATCACCCATGGCTTCTCTTCGGGGTCCCTGTGGATTCGTTGGTCTCCGAAGCGCCGCTCCCAGGTCGCACGCGAAGGAGCGATCGGGAAGAAGGAGTTCGCCGACGGCTGCGAGGCCATCGGCTTTGAAGGCGACGAAGAGCGGCAGGGTGTGGGTGGTGTAGGGTGAGGAGCGCCTCCAAACGGTGTGGAGGTTCACTTGAACGCTTGATACATGATAAACATTGGGTTTCATTGCTCTAGGTATTACAAAAGGTCTCTTGACCTCAAAAATGATGAACAGTATTCCAAACTGGTCTTGGAACTTGCCCGCAGTGGCCGCCATGTCGGTGACCACCAGGTGACACCAACATCATGTTTACGCTTCTCCTGCCCAAAGTCAGTCGAACGTCTGGAACCCGGACCGCTGGGCGGGTGGAGGCTGACGGAGCGGAACGTGCCCCCTCGGGCGGTGCGGCGGTGGACGGCCAGACGACTTAGGTGTCGGGAGAACAGAGGACATTGTTTACGAAAGTGACGTCGCCCCAAAAGTTGCTTGGACCTTTGTCCCGTGCTTGACACAAAAGGCATGGCTTAATGGAGCTTGATGGCAAATTCAGGTATGACGGAATGACCTGAACCCTCAAACGTGGTAGTCTCTATGTCTTTCCCTTGGGCTCAAGAGCTCCTCTAAAACTTACCACGGCCATCAGGCTTCTTCATCGAACCAAAATCCATCCCCAAATTACTCACTAATCACATCTAATCACATCAAATTGTCAAGAAACAAGCTACTAGTAACAAGTGCATCGCTACTAGTAGCTAGAAGCTAGAAGCTACTAGAAACAAAGTCTCTCAGGTTCCTTTGTTTAGCCACCCATCGGTGACCCACCGGTGACCCACCGGTGACCCCATCGGATGCGTGCCGTGTCAGGTCCCTGGAGCTCTCGGACCTGGGACGTTTTACCGCTCTGAAGGAGCGGTCGCGGTGGAGCGGAGCGGCCTGGCCCCAGGGGTCCCCCAAAAGCATGTAGATGGAGATAAGTAGAAGGTAGAAGTCGGTAGAAGGTGCTTTCTTTTGATACTCAACATGGTAGGGCCATACAGTTCTGCACTCCTACATTGGGATATGATGTGATATGAATGGATGTTGCATGGACTTGATCCGAGGCACAAGTGGATCCCCCCAACAGTTCAGGAGGATTCTGCCGGGTGGAACGAAAAGCGTTGTCAGGTGGGTCACGTGGGCGTTCCGAGTAGAACGCCTAGTTCATGCAGTGGAACACTCCCTCTGTTCATCCGCTGGGTCCACTGGCCAACGTCAGCGCTGTGCCGGGGATTCATGCCGACCTGCGAGGACTAGCAAACCTTGAGACAAGGATGTTGGAGTAGACGAGCAAAATCCATCAAAATCCAATTGCCGAAGGCAACTGGTTGCATAAGCGAGCAGATTTTTAGTGTGATTCTGCAATTCCTCCAAACGAGGTCAGATTTGGACACCCTCATGACCTTTTTCAGGTGCCAACAGGCAGATGAAGCCATGAACATCCCAGCTGTAAGTGCTTTGCAAGGCTTTCCAAATCTGCATGAAATCCACTAGCTGTCTTAATTATGGATATTGTCCTGGTGGCGGGAGCCTTAACGAATCCATCCCAAACACACCGAGAGGGCAAGTGACTCCCTCGTAGATGTCAGACCTGAACCAAAGACGTATACATGAAACTACGTATACATCGTATATGTACGGATGAGTCTCAGATGTGATTTCGATGATTCAACTCTGATGGAGAAGTGTGGATATGGATCAATCAATACTATCACTCCGCCCGCCGGGGTCTCCTTGAACCCATATGATGCACTTGGTGAGACGCCGTCTGAGACAGACGTTTGCGTCAGCAAACGGTCGAGAGGCGTTTTTCCGATTTCTGGAGCAGAGCCAAAAGGCTTCCGAACCACGCTCCGTTGGAAAGAAGCGACCGAGAGGTGACAGAGGGCGAGCGACCGGGAGGTAGCCTTCAGGCTGAATGACCGAAAGCGCACACACACAGACACGCAACTAGTCAGCCCAAATGCTGCAATTTGTCACCACACCTGCAGTTTCATGGCATTGCGGCGTTGCTTGACACCCAAGAGTCCAAGAGCCATTTAGGATGATCATGCGATCCCATCAGATAGCCCGCAACAACGCGATTTTCCCATCAGGGACTATTTGCGTCCTCACAGCTGAGGCAACAAACTAACAGATCGGGTAAACTGCTGATCTCGATTTTCTTGTATATAGTTGCAGTACTGCATGCCCCGCAGAAGTAGTTGAAGTGCGGCATAAGAGTCGGGCGGAAGAAGCAGAGTGAGTTTCGGCAGAAGTTTCTTAATTTATCCCTGCTTAACATCATCTTGCAATGTTGCGCCATCGCTGCTGGAGATGTGGTCACACCCTGATGCGCTATGCAGGGCCTGGCACCTACGACCTACAATGATGGCCATCGGACCTTTTTGTGCTTTGTTCTTGTCAATTTTCTTTTGTCCGTGGCACAAGAATCCTGCATGTCATGTGGCCCAGGAGGTCCATGTTCTCAACTCTGTCTTCTTCGCAGCAGGTGTCTCAGGTCAGGATGCCTCTTCGATTGGCAGTGGGAAGCCTTCAGAAATACTGTACTTATATGTGTTTTCTGATGCTCCATCATGGGTCTTAGAAGATGTTCTTCAAACCTCCTCGCTTCGTGTGTGACCAAAAAGGCTCCACATGACTGAAGCACTTTTAGCTCAGGCTTGCAGCAGTGCAAGCTTTCCGACATCGAGCTTTGTCTGGGCCCTACACTGAATCACCTGAATCTCACGAACACATATGAGCACATGGTCACATCTCTCGCATCACATCGTCAGACAGAAGCTCGAGCTGTGTGATCCCTGAAAACTGGTCACTTGAGGCCAGATGTTACAGCAGCTCTGGAGGGGCCAGGCACAGGCTCTGTGCGGCTAGGCGGGGCGGGAGAGGGCGGGAGTCTCCCAACCCTTTTTTCTTCACCCCTGCGAGATGTTCAAAATCATCGCGAGTCTTCGAACACGTCGCGCGAGATGCGAGGACATCGTCGCGGCATGCCGCAGGCGAGACGCTTCGAAGCATCGCGTGCGAGGAGGCCGGACGGTCTGTTTCAGGTCCAAGGTACACCGTCGAACAGCGAGGATCGAAGAGGAGAGGTCGGTCACCCGTCGTGGAGAAGACTTCTTCCCTGGTTATCCTGGATGTCATTTTTGGTCGTCACTTGGTCATCTGTGGTCTATTGATCCTCTGTGATCTATCTACATACCCGTTCCATCTCCTTGGACTCCACAGATCGATTTCTCGCGTTAGGTCGCTGACTTGAGCGAAGATGTCTCCAAAGAGGCCCGCATGTCCCGGGACTGCGACCGGGTGACCGGTGACCTGTCGATAGGTCGGTGCGTCCTTAGCTTAGCTGCTCATTGATGTTGCGTGTTTTAACTGGATGGATTCTCTTGACCTGCTTGAGAAGCAGCAATCTGGATCACTCTCGCCCCTTGAGTGAACTTGAACTCTGAGCTCAGAAGCCCTGAGGAGTCATGCTTTCAATTGCTTTCGTCGTCTCAACGCCATCTGAAATCGCCGTTTTGGCTCAGAATGCTTCGCTAGCTTTGGTGTCCATGCCTACATGTGGCTGGCACCTGCAGATCTACAAAAACCTGACATATCATGAGAATTCATGAGACACATAAAAGAGCCCAGTAAAGTCACATACTGGTAACAAAGTGGTCTTGCATCAAATCCAAGCTTAACAGGTAAAAGGAGGGTCACCAGCGCGACTCCGACTGAATGTCATACGGCATCATTTAGTGCCACTTGGTGTGATGTTTGTGTAGTAATATATAGTTTCGAAGCAAATGCTCTTCTGCATCAGAGTTTGATGTCGGCATCGATCACCCAAACTACACCCGTGGGCCAGGAACAGCTGCTAACAGACACCACGCCAACTGATGATAAACCAAGCACCTACAGTCCAAAGTAGGCTTGTTTAATTGCCTCGCTGCTCGATTTTCCATCTGACCAGCTGGATCTCGGCTTGCTCGCGTGCACTGCGGAGGCACAGCCCTGTTGAGCGGTTCAGTCCAGGTGAATGAGAACCCTTCGCAAAGCTTTTCACGGGTGTGAATCGGGGGATTGTTGAAACCGGACTGAAACCCATCCCTGATCGGAAAGGACACGCTTGGAGCAGCTTTGTCCATTTGGTCGTGACTAGCAGCAGTGACGGCAACGCGTTTCGGCCGGGAACCCAATGGAGGGAGGTCGCCTTGCGAATCCTTTCTACAAAAAATTGGTTTGTTCTTTTTCATCACCAGTGGAGCTGGGAGCTGGTACAGAAAAAGGAATGTGATTTCTGCCTCAAACAGAGAATCGTGGATTGTAAAATCAAAAGGCTGCAAGTCATTGGATTTGGCTTGTGGCTCACGGCCAGTGGTTACCCTCTCTAACTCAGGTCCTTGCTGGACAGTGCATGTGACATCATGTGCATGTGACATCATGGGACGCACATCCGAGCCTCGTTGTACTGGCTTTCAAAGAAGGAGCCTCCGGAGATCGTCTCTGGTGAAGGCCAATAGGAAGTCGGAGAGCTCACGAACAAATATCAAGAAAGAATCGGAGACTTCACTGACGATCCCACGGTGGATGTCCGACATGGTCGTGAAGCGACACGCGTCGTGGTTGACCTCTGAAGCAGCAAAAGCGGAGGACACACTTACTTCCTACTCTTCCCACTCTTCATGCTATGACTCTGGTAGCATCAGACTTTTCATTTTACCATATATATATATATTTCACTACATGTTACAGTATCACTTTTCACCACACATCCTAGCAATTTTGATCCATCTCTGCTGTCCTCAAAGGCCACTCAGACTTTGGCCGCTATGATGCCTTGGCTCCTGTTCCTATGGTGGGTCTGGCTGCCGATCCAGGCTCTTCCGAAGGTGTGGTGGGTCTTGTCGTTTGCCACGTCACCGGCTTGCGATTGGATCGGATTGGTGCTGCAAGTACGTGGTGCAGTGCTGGAAGTGCTTGCAAGCAACTGCAGGACAAAGAAGAGCCCCATATCCCCGCACCTCTGATGGAGCTCATCCTTTTTGATTGCCACTTAGTCTACAAACAGGTCATAGGATACTGAATAGCTTCCTGCAAGCGTTTGTCAAAACAAGCTGCTGTGGTGGGTGGGTGTTTGGAAGAAACAGTTGGCTCATCCATGTTCATCCTAAATCCAGGACGTGTATCGTGGAGCAGGGAAGAAACATGGCTGAGGGATGTCCTGTTTCTTCTTTGGTGCAAAGCAACCAACTTGCACTGGTTTGGTCAGCTGCCACTAGCAAATAGTGACACCCTCGATGGCTTGGCAGAGCCGCAGCACAGCTTAGGAAAGAACACCAACTGAAGTAGACACGCAACAAAAACATGGTGACACAACTGGAACTTCGCCTGTGGGAGTCATCGGCGTGGGAGTCATCTTAGACACCATCATCTGAGAATCATCTACCAGACCCAAAGCACCTTGACCCAGACCCAAAGCGCCTTGGGCCCACGAACCGTGTCGAACCCTCGTGTCGAACCCTCGTGTTCGTGCCCATTGGCCATCGGTCCCATAGCCCGGAGGCGAATAGCGGGCTCACTCGGCTGGAGCAGGAAGAGCTGGCTTTTATGAAGAGCTTCTTGGATTGGTTTACTTGGCCAACTCACATGATGAAGAGATGTTCCATCCAAATGAGTTTATTTTTTCTTATTCAAGTGTCTACAGCACCAGTGGCACCAGTGGCAGATATCATGGATTTGGTGTTTTACTATATAATATGAGCCACGTGATCGTGTACATGCTGATAAAGACCTTCACAGCCCTGGGAGCTGGTGCATTTGGTCCTGCTTGGAAGCTCCAAGGCTCGCTAAAGCGCGAGATCGATGATGAACCTTGGCGGAAGATCTTTCCCACTTCCTTCGGCGTCAAATGCACACGTGGCAGTCCTTGGGAAGAGACGCTCCCACAGCGGTTTCGCTCCGGTCCCAACACCACCCCCTCTTTTCTGCAGCACATGACCGTGTTTTTCAACCCCCCTGGAACACAGAACACATAGCACTGAAAAAAGAAGACGGTCATGCGCTCGGTTTTCTGCGAGCCCAAGCGAGACAATTGTTGAGGCCACAGATCCTGCACATGAAGATACCAGCTTGCATGGGCAGGAGAAGAAGATCCGCAAGGCATACAGAGCCTTGATTGTATAGCAATATATTACTGTAAATCCATTGCATATGGTCATGGACCATCATGGGTGGATGCCGAGTCTTGAGTAGGTTTCAGACAATGTAAGTCATGTCAAGGTCAGTGGATGATCCGATGAGGAACCTCATTCATGGCTTCAGAGTTATGTCGAGTTGTTTTCCTTGTGGACCTTTCTGAAATGCAACGCTCGAGTACCGGCATCGCTGACGACATCGCCGAGGAAACATCGCCAGACGATTCAAGCGGAACATCTTCGATGATCAGGCGCTAAGCGCTCCAACGACTTGTTCCACTGACGGAGACCGGAGGTTCCAACGCTTCCAACGCTTAGCACGCAAAGAAGAAGGATGAGACATGGTGAGACATGATGAGACTCGGTCAGGAAAGTAGCTCCTAAATCGAAGATTCTGGAAAACGCTGAATTCTAATTAGATCCTTGATGCATTTCTACAGCTGCATCTCTTTTTCCAAAGATCTGTTCTTCTCCGTGTTTGGTCCACCTGTCGAGGTGAAGTTCGAGTTCCAGATGCGCATCCTGAACTTGGCCAAGGAGCCGAAGCCGAGCGCGAACGCCCCGGGTGTGTCCGGCTCGATCCACTGGTGAAGAGGTGGCCAGGTGAGTCGGTTCGCGCCGGACAGCAGGTGTGTGACCCCCCCTCCCGGTGAGCGAGCAGCCCTGCCACACCAGGAAGCCTTGATGAAGGGAGATGGCCTTGGAGCATCTGGATGGGCTGAAGAAGATGAAGAAGAGGAGGACCTCGGATTAGTGCAATAGGGGGTCTTGGCAACAGGAATGCATTCGAGTCATTAAGCTCTATCAGATCCCGCTTCTACATGTTTCTGGAGTTTCTCCACCACAACAAATGCACGTGCCTGGTCAGTATCACCATGGTGGGTCCACCACCACGAGGATATGCAGGTTGTGCAAGAGTTTGTCAAATCACGAGCATTGATTGGAGCGCTAAGATGCTTCACAGCGCCAGGATGACAATGAGACCAGAGGCTCTGGCCGAGAATTGCCTGGGCACTCAATGGGTATGAAGAATTGTTTTTTTTTTTTTTTTTTTTTTAAATTGTTTTTTTTAAGATTAGATAAGCGATGCGTCCCAGTTTTGGAAGAACAGCTGTGAGGCCAGGGACAAGTCGAGCGAGTGATGAGATTTTGTGCCTTGGATGTGTCATTATTTCATGATATTTCCTAATTGGCCTTGTCGGACAGAGGACTCCGCTTGGTGCCGTCATGTCGGCTGAGGAAGAATATCCACTCCTGGCAGGCCGAGAGCATGTTCACATGTGGTATTTTTTTTTGACGACGGTTCCAGGCCTTGATCTGACAGGGTGCTAACCAAGTAAGCAACAGTTTTGCTTAGCATTGACTGTCCAGCAAATGAATCATGACTGTCCAGCGATAAAGCTTCTGTTTGGAGGAGTTGGCTCTGGAAGAAGGGGTCAGATTTGATGATCCAGAGCAGGCGCTTATGGTGTCAATGTGAGCAGCAGTGCAGACATGTCTAGGTCGTTCACAAATCTCTTTGCGCGGAAAAGAAAGACTTGGACATGGCAATGTGATCGCTCATTCCCATGCCAGGGATACTTTGTTGGACACACTCAGCATGCCTATCGAGACGCCTTTGCTGGCAACTGGAGCAAGTTCTTGCGAGAGGACCGTTCGTCCTCAACCTGCGAACACATCACACCCCATCGCATAGAAAGCAAACCTCTTTGGCAAGCGAGTTCGTTCCGCAAAATATGTAATAAACAACCGTTTAGATCTATTTTATGTACTTACTCGAAGGAATTCAACGGAACATCTTCACTTCTGGCGGTGTCGAAGGGTATTCTTTCTTCCCAGTTCGGCCATCTACACTGCAATTCTGGTACTTGTAGGGTCACCCACACACGCAGATAACTATATTTATGATATTGTGTGCAGAAGGTTGACTCAAGTATATGAGCTTTATATAGGTGTTGCCCGGTGTGGATCTCCTCAAGAGAGAAGACCATCGGACTCTTTTTGGATGGCCACAGGATGGATTTAAATCTTTTTTTCATTGACCAGTTGGGCTGCTTGGTACACACCCCCATTGTTGATTCCCCTTCACAGGAACTG